TCTCCAGACTTGGGCTGTTTGCTGCATTTGCACACGACCTGGGGTATGTACGTCGACAGTCCTGCTTTTGCATAGGCCTGTGGCCACTTCGTGATGTATCGGCCCTGCATTGTGTGGATGTGCCCAGGCGCAACTGCCAAGGCCTGGGCCAAACTGTACGACGCGGCTTAGGGGCGCTCTCGCGTCCACTCAACCAACTGGCGGGCTGCAACAGCCCGAGTACCCACATATGAAAAATGTCGAATTTTGGCCTTTAGTGAATATTCAGGCCCGCCTTCACTTAGGGCGGGCACTTGACTTGCTGGGGGCTTCTGCCCAGAACATGTGCATGCTTGACAAGGGCCCCGCGAGGGCTCATTCCTCGCAAGTGTCGGAGAGAAGACAAGGGAGAGGGACAGAACGGGGGGGGCATACAGAGTATTACAGACAGAACTATGGAGAAGACTGACAAAATGACAGAAGGGGTCACACTAGGAATTCTTTCCCGGTTAAATCTGAGATTCTGATACATAATTACGACCAAAGCCAGCCAAAGATGATTTCCATCTCTGCAGTCAATCCCTCGACCAGCAAACATTCCAAAACGACACACACACACACACGCACACACACACACACACACACACACACACACACACACACACACACACACATGCCTACAGATCAGAAGAGACGGTCAAGAGCTAGAGCCGGCGATTCAGCGAGCTTCGCAACAGGGAGCAGCTAGAAGAAGGTAGGTACCCCCCAAAAAGCTACGGAACTGCTGGTTCNGTCAAGAGCTAGAGCCGGCGATTCAGCGAGCTTCGCAACAGGGAGCAGCTAGAAGAAGGTAGGTACCCCCCAAAAAGCTACGGAACTGCTGGTTCCATCAGGTAGGAGAAGGTAGCCGGCCGCCAGGAATCGATGACTCCCACATGGTACGGTGCACCAGGGCACCGCTAGGGAACAAGGACTGGCACCCACCGGTGCTTCCGGGAAATCCCGGGTCTATCGACCCTTGTATATTACTGACCCAACCCACCCACAACCCCACTACGCACCCCCTTTTTTTTGCCTTTTTTCGGTCTCGTCCTCTTCTCTTTGTTTCTTCTTTTTTTCTTGTCTTTTTGTCTTTCCCCTTTTTCCCTTTTTTCAACCCCCTCTTTTTTTTTTTTTTTGTGGCGTTTTTTCTTTTTTCTTTTTTCTTTTTGCGTCACTCTACGGGCGCACTATGTCGGTTTCATTCAGACAGCGGGCCACGTCCCAGTTACGCTTCTCCGCCTCATGATACGAAGGCTCCATGATTTAGTGGCGGGACTCAAGCGCTTTCAATAAAGAACTGTCGGGCGCGCGGCCAGGAGTCGCGCCCCTTAATTTGTTTCAACTTTTTTTGATGTCTTGATATCTTGATTTTCCGATTTTTTTAGGCTACCGCGCGCTCCATTTCAGCATGAATGTGACCGGCCGAATAATGATACTTAAACGGAGGAGCTGGGCCGAGGGTAGCACTTCCATCTACTTCGAGCGATTGTCGACACGGAACCTCGGGACATCAAGCATTGCGAGTCGCTGACTGGAGGAATCTCGGCGTTTTCCGAGAATTGTTTCTTCTTCTTTCCTTTTCTTACAGTGCGCGGCACGGCTGAGCGGCACGACGGAATGGACTTTCACTTTGAACCAGACTGCGAGGAGGACTTCATCGAATCAGAAGAAGGGGTATCGTCGCGGCGTGACCATGAAGCCTAGTGACCTGGACCCGCTGTCACTCACCGCTTTGCTCTGCGCGCTTGCACTCTGCCTTGCCCTCGTGCCCAACGTCCTTATCGGCGCTTTGCTGTGTTGGGCTTGCCAGCAGGAGTGCGTGTTGCTCTCCCGCGCGCACTACTTCTCCCGTCTTATTCGCGCCACTGCTGTTTTCTTCGCCGCCCTTAGCGTTGTCTGTACCCTGGCACTCATAGTCGCTGCGCTGCTCCTGCGTGAACTGCTACTCACCAGGGGCTGAGTTCAGGTTCCTCAGAGGTCGCTCTCAAGATGACGCCGGATGAGGGGCGTGAGAGGACTCCCATGGAGCTTACGACTTGTGCATTCTTGGCATACCTCGCGCTCCTCTCCCTACTCGCGTTCCTCTTCTTCCTTGGCGCACTCCCGAATGCGGGCTTCCCGTCACAACCTCGAACGACTTCTGSCCCCCCCACGCAATCCCCCCTCCTGCAATCACACCAGCCACAAGGTCATGGAACCCCGACTCCGCCTCGCTGTTCGCGCTCATCGTGTTTTTCCACAAGTCTTGACTCGTCAGCATCCCACCACTGCAGGAATCCTATCCCGCCATCCTCTTCCTCCTCACCCTCTCCTTCTGCTAAGTCTTGCKCTCGGCCTTCCGGCGAAAAAGGAAAGCCCCCCCTCTGATGACGCCGCCAGTGGCAGGCGGCAGAAAGGCCTCGGCTATARCTTCRRRCTGGCAGTGGTTACTCCTGAGATTATGTTTTTAATATCCGCGAGTCAGACATTGCGTTGCGTACCACACGACTGTATTATGCCATACCCGCTCAAAAAAACTCGGATGCAAGGTGCACCGACGCTTTGCTGTCGGAGAAATGCCGGATACTGGTCCATCATATCCTCGCATGCCATACATACATCTAAACACACACGAGTGGGTTTTTTTTCCCCGCAGCGCTGTTCCCGGGTGCCCTCGGGAACCGTACCTTGGAACGTCCGTCTCGACTGCTCAGTCGAGTACAGCGGTCGATTGTGGCATGTTTTTGTGGAAATGGTAGCATGTGTACTGCAGTCTGGGATAGGGCGGGATTAGATCGAAGCTGCAATCGAGAGCGTGGTTTGATGACTGTGGCCACTTATCCTTCTTCCCCTTGTTACCCACCCTCAAAACTTCCTGCTTACCCTACCCCCCCACCCCTATTCCCCCTTTCCCATCCCTACACTACCGTATGTTGCCTGTGATATACCTTTGTGTGCAGAATATGCCTGAAGAGTCCTTCCCCAGCGGCTGGTGGAACGAGGTCATCGCAAGATTCCCATGGCTAGCAGCTCACCCTTGGCCGAGCAAACCTGCGCAAGCCCTCATCATCTGTATGAAAACCGAGAGCATGGAGCTTATCAAACGACAACTGGACACCGGTAGTTTCCCGAATTTTTTCGAGAGTATTGCCTTCAGCGACCTGGCGAAGTTAGCAAGAACCTGGGACAACAGTAGAGGGGATTATGAAGCAGAGGTGGGGATGCTAGCAGCTGAGCTTGAGTTGAGGAAGGAGACGTATGCCAGGGAAAACGCCGAGCTCCCAGGCAGAGTTGCCAGGGTCGAGCAGATCTTCCTCCGAGCATGGAACCTTAGTGATGCTCATCTTAGGAATCACGTACCGGCAGATGCACCCCCAGCCCGCCCCCCTCCACCGCAGGCCGATCTCGCAGGTCCCACGAGGACCGCGAGATGTCATGCCTTGGAGATTAATCAATTAGAACTTGACGAAATGGAACAGGCCATCGCAGACAACGCTGCTAATGCACGCACACAACCTCCCAGGCAGGCAACGCAACGCAGACAGCCGCAGGTCCCAGCGGTAGGCAGGCAGTACACAGCTTTTGCGCCGATAGCATCTCACCAGTGGGTAGATCACACTTGTCAGGCCTTTAGGCACTCAATTTGGAGAATGGACACATATAATCACCTTACGCCGATCTCTGTGAAAGCTTATCAGTTTCTCACTGATTTGTCCGATGAGGACGTAAAGAAATGTAGGGCGGTTACGTACAAAGGGCAGCTCAAATACTGCGGGAGGGGCAACCCTCCGTTTAAGCCATCTGATCTTCCTTTCCCGAGCCTGACCTACGTGGATCCGGATAAGTGCGGCGACTCTGAACCCACAATGTGGCACAAGAAGATATGCCAACCACCTGCACTCGATCTCCGCAACCTGCGGAAGGTCTGGAGTGTGGGCAGGCCGTATCTCAAGTGCAGCTGCAAAAGGGAGAATGACCAGAAGGACTGCCCAGGGGGACCCCTCTGGGTGGACCACGCAATCTGGTACCTACTAGCTCACCCGGACGTTCTTTTCCCAAACCTGTCTTCCACTAGGGTACGCACTTCTATGTTCATTCACTACCTACGGACCACATGGAAAGACGCAGTCAGGTGATGCATTATCTTTATATTCATCCGAGAGCTGATGACCGGATACGTCTCACTGCTTGAGCAGGATGATCACCTGTCTGCTGAGGCTGTCGTACGGGACGAAAGACTTTGGAGACATCACACCCCGCCAGCGCTGGGGAGAATACTGCTTCCCACCAGGGTACCAGCGAGACCAAGAAAGGTGCTTCCGGTCACGCCACGGAGACAAGCTCGCAGGAGGAGCTGCCCGGAGCCCATCCCCGGGCAAGGTAGGTTAAATTTCACCCCCGCCCCAAGGAGGGAAGCTGCCTCCGCACAGAGAACGGACGGCGCAGATTGTCCCAACGCTACTGCTCGAAATCCAGGCCCAGTACTCCAGCACGCCCCCCCGGCACGGGTTACCGTACAACTCCCGCCGATCCTAGTCACTCCACCAGCAACACGCGCACCAACGAACCTTAGCTGGGCGGCGAGAGGGGGTAGAACTTCCCCGGAGGAGCGGTCGCAGGTTGATTCGGTACCATCAGCGCAAGACAAAAATTTGAGGCGGAGACTCTCAGAGGGTGATCTGGCCGCGCAGGACTTTGTACGCTCGCACTGAAGATAGCCTCACCAGCCCGCCCCCCGTTTTTTTTCTCTCTATTTTTTTCCCCTTTTTTCTCTCCTCTCTCTCTTTCTTCCCCTTTTTTTTGCCATTTTTTCTTCTTTTTATTTTACTTTTTCACGTCTCGCTCCCCCCCGGTTTGCGTTCTTCTTCTTCTCTCTCTTCTTTTTTTCTTCTTTTTTCTTTTTCCCTTTTTTCTTTTTGACCGTAGGATTCACCACACACGCTATCTTTGTCACGCAGGACCTAGAGCTGGGTGGCAGGATGATCGAGCTTCCAAACGGCAGAGGAAGATGGGAGAAGGAGAGGCGCATGGAAACGATGTATCTACACATGAGATACACAAGCAAGATCATGGAAGCGTTCTCAGTCAGAAGTGTTGTGCATGATGCACTGAAGCGCGTGGTGGGAGAGGAAGCAGACACATGGCTGGACGATATCGTCTTTGGATGGTCGTACAATGATCCGATCGCCGCGTACGTTTGTAAGCCTAAGAGAATCTTCAGGGACTTTAACCTCGAGCAATGGTCGAAGGATTATGATGCGGCAAGGTGCCCGTGCAGATCTCAGAGGTACGAGCCTCTCCTCAGTAGCATACCAATCGAGCTCATCCCAGGGTCGACACACCAGCACGTAGTCACGATGAGCCCGGAGATCACAGATAACTACAGGCTCAGGGCCATGCTGAAGGAAGGGCTGAACCATGTCCCTCTGAAAGCGTTAGATATCGAGGAGGCTCTCTACGAGATGGGACAACTCTTGGACAGGCTGGCGGATGCTTCAGTCGGGGTACTGCAACTCAGCGACAGGAAAAGGAGGCTGATGAAAAAACTGGCTCTAGACAAGGCGAGGACGAAGATGTCCAGATACTGGAACAAGCACCGTCATGTCTCTGCCGAACCCATTGATCAGGCGAGCATCAAAAAAGAGATTGAATTCATCTCCAGGAGGTTCCTGGTCTTAGCAACGGACAAAGCAGCCAATACGCCAACTTACGTTTGTGTCAACTTCATCAGAGAACTGGCATTGCAGAGGTTATCCAGCCCGGACTTCGTGTTGCTGCATGAGGAACCTGAATTGTTGGAAGCTGCTATGCATGCGGAGACGGCGCACCTTGTAGCTCTCCCGCGTACCGGAGTAAATCTTCCGTATCTGATGGCGATCTTCAAAGCGCACAAGGGCACCTTTCGATGGATCACTAACACGGCCAACTCTTCAGTTTCGGCAATGGCCGAGGTGTGCGCCTGCCTGCTCAGCTTCCTGGTCCCCTCGGTTCGAGACTTCTGCGAAGAAAAAAGCTTGTTAATGGAAGCCGAGTACGGAACAAAGCCTAACCTTTGGTGGCCAGTCTCGTCGATCGGCGAGTTTGCAGCCAGCCTTCCGCAAATGGTGTCGTCCGTCTACACGGCTGACATTACCAGGTGCTTCGAGCTAATCCCTACGGATTCATCGGAGCATAGCTTGGTCGCCGCGGTTAAGTTTTTTGTAGAATGTGCCATGGCACACAGACGCGACAGGAGCTCGCGGGACTCGATCAAAATCAGGGTCACCAACGGGGGCAGTATGTTCGCATCATGGACGGACAAGCATCTCTGCCCACCTGAAGACTGCATGCATTTCACAGAGAAAGAGGTCGTGTGGGTGACGGAGTGGTGTGTCTCGCACAGCCTAGTGCAGATGGGGGGAGAAGTGTGGAAACAAGTGTTGGGAATACCAATGGGGCTGGCATGCTCACCAGTGTGGTGCGACGTCTATTTTTTTAAGTACGAATACCAGGCGATGATCAGATTATTGGAACATAAATTGTACGAGTCGGTGCAATCCTTCAGGGACACGTTCAGATATGTGGACGATATCTGCTCTCTGAACAACGCGGCGGTAGGAGACTGCTTCCGGTCAGAGTGCGATCAGATTGCGGACCCCAAGTGGATCTACCCTGCTGAGTATATCGAGATTAAGGAAACAACGGTGCTCAAGGGAGATGACGGGCAAGGCATCGTAGCCAACTTCCTCAACATGACGATCTCGGTCTCCTCTGCTGAACAAGGCGAATTCGCGACGGCGAAATGCGACAAGAGACACGATCTGGGCTTTGTGCCTTGCAGGTACACGAGATTCAACTCAAACAGGAGTACAGCGCAATCCTTGCAAATCATCACCGCGCAGACTGCACTGATCCTGATCCTATGCACTGACCCGACGGAGGCCACGTCCGAGATACGCCGCGTGGTGGCGGGGATGACTGACAACGGGTACGAGTCGCGCAGATGTTGGGACGTCGTCAAGAAGGTCCTCAAGAACCATCAGCGCTATCAGCCGAGCAGGGTTAATTTGCAGATAACCCTCGAGATTTTAGAGCAGACGTGCGCAATGCACTAAGCGTGTCTGTGTCGGTGTGTGTGCAGGTGTGTGGAGTCCGGGGGATTGCTGGCCCAGTGGGTCAGCTGTCCCCAGGACAACTGACCCACTCAGCCTGAGCAATTCCTCTGGAGGGATAGTGGGTGGGTCACACACACACACACACACACACACACACACACACACACACGCCTACAGATCAGAAGAGACTGTCAAGAGCTAGAGCCGGCGATTCAGCGAGCTTCGCAACAGGGAGCAGCTAGAAGAAGGTAGGTACCCCCCAAAAAGCTACGGAACTGCTGGTTC